CATTGAATAGCCTAATTTCCAGACTATTTTATAGAAGAAATAAAATACCAAAGAATGGAAATGAAAGGAAAAGGCCTAGAGATTCTAATTAAAAAAAAAAACTTTAAATATAAAAAGGTTTTCCTTTCAGTGAGATCAAAAAAGGCTAGGAAAAAATATAATAACAACTCATAAAAATTCGTAATTTTCGCGAAGCCGAGGGATGAAATGACTCCCCTTTTACTCAACTTTTTTATTACAAAGTGACTCAATGTATTTTTCTTGACACAAAATAGTTTTTGAACACAATTGCACTTTTAAAAATTTTGCAAATAATAATTTGTAGGGCTGGCATCATGTTAAACGCGAACTGTCTCGTATTGCCCCGCTGTCTCATTTTGCCCCGCATTACCCTACATTAAGTATTTTTTTTACTTTTTAAAGCGTATATAATTGAGACGTATCTGAATGTAACTAAATCTAGATTTGAGACGTAACTAAAATGCGTCTCAAACATAGATTTTTTTAATGTTACGTTATGTCTCAATTGGTTACACTTTAAAAAGTAAAAAAAAGACAAAGTATGACTTAAAAATTTTATTTTTGTGACTTATTTTATTTACGTTTTGAATCTTAAATGTTTTACGATTTAAGATTCAAAGATTAGGTCTCGATTGGTTACACTTTTAAAGGTAATTAGGGGCCATCCATAAAGAACGTCATCCAAATAGGGGAAAAGGAGTCGAGTTAAAAAAGACGAAAAAGGACAAGGGTAAGGGGGAGATTGTCAGAAAAGGACGTCACTTTATAGATTTTTTATTTTAGTTCAAGGGGGCACAACCCCATTAAAAAGTGTAAACTGTTTTAAAAAAATATTTTTTCAAAAATACACTCAATTTAACTTAAATTTATTAAAGAAACTGTTGGTGATATTAATTTTTTTAATAAAAGATACTAAAATCGGTCAAAATTTCATTTATTTAGATTACTGTTATTTTAACTCCCCTAGCAACGCACATAGAGTACTTTTTTCACCTTTTTTAGCACTATTTTAAAGTTGACTTTAGATTTTTGTTTTTGCAAATAGTTTCTTATTAGAAGTTAAATGGTTGAATTTGTTATTGACTGTTTTATAAAAAACATTACAGGGAACCGAATAGTTAAGATGAAATAGTTAGCTGAGATTTTTAACATTCGTTTGTGTCGAGTGGGTGCACATGTGCACATTTAATAAAGCTAAATCAAGATTAATCAAAAGTTAGGATTTTTTTTTGAATTTAGGTTTTAATATGCAATTTGTGATTTAAATGGCTCTGAACTTTAAAGAAAGATTTGAAACAAAAGGTTTAGACATTTGTAGTTGAATGGTATGCGTATGATAGGGTACGTAGTATGCGTACAACAGGGATAAGTTATCAATTTATGAAACTGGTTTTTTATGAATAAAGTTGCATCTAATGTTTAATCATAGTCTATAGTGCAATATTTAATAGATAAAAAGGTTAAAGACAAATATAATCGTTATTATAAATAGATTTTCTATAAATCTTTTTTTAAAACGTTTTTTATGAAATATCAATATTGTACTAACTTTGCTTTACTGTGGCAAGAATTTTTCAGAAACGGATTGACCAAAACTTGGAAATTTTTTTGATTATACATCAAGCTGTGCAATGAACCTCAAAATTCTATGAATGTATAAGTTAAAAATAAAATATAACGATTTTTCGGTCATAATGGAGGTTTAAAAAGAGCGTTTTTTTTTACATCCTTTAAAGAAATAAAGCACAACCCTAAGGAAAAAGTAAGTTATAAGTTTTTGAGGTTCATTGCATACCTCAACATCAAGCTAGTTATATGCAAAGTTTTATTCTATGTAATCTTCTGCATTTTGAAATATTTTTGCCACAAAAATGGACAGTTTTTAAGTTTTTACCCCTTAAAAATTGGCCCTCAGGGCAACCCTTCATTTTTATTTTTTTATTTTTATCTTAGTTTTATTTAGAATTTACTTAATATACAGAAAAAATTATTTAACTATCAAAAATAAAGAATTTTTTGTTTATGGGTTGTGCCCCCTAAATTAACATGGAAAACTGCGTAAACACTTGTTTTTGAGAAGATAATGTGTGAGAATATTTTTAATTTTAATTTTCAAAGGTGTAGCAGCAGATTTAGACATAATTGCAAGATGAAATAAATTTTTTTGGAGTTAAAAATAGGGAGGGGGTCTGGATTTTATGACGTCCTTTTCCAGGGGTATAGGGAAAAAGGACAACCGGTGACAAAGGAAGGGGGGGGGGAAGGGGTCAAAAATTGGCTAAAAAATGGTGACATTCTTTATGGATGGCCCCTTAAACAAATAATTAGATTGCTTAAGTACCGTAAGTTACTTTAACTTTTAAAGGTACTTTTTTATATTTTGTGTTACGTAACTTTTAAATGTTTTAGCTTTAAATGTTTTATTTACCCTTAAAAAGTCTTTTTTTAATTACAATAGTTTTGATAAACGTATTGATGAGTTTACAATATTGTTAATAAGTAAAGTTATTTAACAATGCCTTTGTCGAGACATTTGTAACTAAAAAATATAATTTAAAAACTGCTAATTATCAGTTTATTTTTATTTTAAAAACCTACGTCTAATATCTAGATTTTGCTACAAAACATTACGTTTTTTTTGGTCAATAATACAAGCGTAATACTTCACGAGCTTTTACAAAAGCTACAAACAAAAATGGATATAAAATAAAAAACTTTCTTATGTCATAATAATATTAAGTACATTGTTTTATTGTAACCGATTGTATGTATAATTTGCATTCTAACATACATTTAGATATTTGGCACAGTCTAAAATACATTGCAATATTTGTCCGCTTTCTTCAACTACCTTTCTAGTTCATCTTCTTCTGTCTTAGCATTACATCTATACATAAATAGATATATTATATATTTATTTAGATAAAGTCTTAGCATTATGTCTATATATAAACAGATATATTATATATTTATATCTAATAAAGAAAAAAAAAATTAAATTAGAATGGTATTATAGGTTACAATGTTACATCTCATTAGGTCAAAATGTTACGTGTCGTTACATATTTATTTTACGTCTCGGTTACATAAAAATAATGGACATTTCGCACGTATTTTTTTATTTCGTACATTTCCCGTAGAAAAACGGATGGAACTTACCTTAATACCACTCTTAATTCAAAAAACTTGCCGCGGGGAACATTTTTTTAAAAGTAGTTTTTGAAGGTAAGATTTTCTAAGTACATCAAATTTGTTTGAAAACATTAAATTTATTTGAAAATTTACATATAGATTTAAAAAAAGGATAAGGAATCTAATGGAGCAGGAACCTTTTTAACATTTATACATATTTTCTTAGTTCTCAGCGTTTAAAAACTTTAAGGTCCGTTTTTTTTAAAAAAATTTTTTTCTAAAGAGGTTCCCTGTAAAAAAAAAAACTATAGCTTCCTCTATTTAAATCAAGTATTTATTTATGTTTTCTTGAAGAAATGGTACATAGGAATTTTGTTTAAAAATAATGTATGTTTTTATTCCTTCGCGTATTGTTCGTTTTGATTTTTGCGCTTGATTTTTGCGCTTGATTTTTGCGCTTGGTTTTTGCGCTTGATTTTTGCGCTTGGTTTTTGCGCTTGATTTTTGCGCTTGATTTATGATGTTTTTATAATATTTCGGTGCCATTTCTCTTAAGTTTTGTCAGAAAATAATCACTTTTTTCAGCATAAAAAATATAATAACTTTGGATCTAATTAACTTCTAAAGTTAAAAGAACCCTCATTTTTAAATTCTTTTTAAGCTCTATACAACTATGGTATTTACATATAAAAGTATAGACAAAAAAATCCTCTAGAATGACTATCTTTATGTCAATGTTTAAACAATTTTGAGCACACTTTTTCGCGTGATTCAATTTTTTTAAACTCTTATATAACTTCTTCACGTAATACAATCTTTCTTAACTCTTTTATAACCACTTCTTCACATGATACAATCTTTCTTAACTCTTATAACCACTTTTTATGAGATACAAAATTTTTATCTCTCGTAAAGTTAGCCTAATAAGTTGTTGTTCAGTTAGGTTATGCACTTTCTTGCATAACCTAGTTGAACAACAACTTATTAGAAATCAACTTATCAGAAATTCAAAAAAAAAAAAAAAAATGAAACAATACAAAATCGTTAATGTCAATCATGCAAGACGTAAATATTTAGTACATAATTCTTCACTGATATAAAAATTACATTATTTTAGCACGTTTTTATAATGAATTTTTTATAACATTTTTAATTATTAAAAAGTCTTTAAGGATTTCCTCTTATCTTTTGCTAAATTATCACCTCGTTCAACATGATTGCCAATGGGATTGTTTACATTTACGTCAATATAGGCAATATTATAGGGGCTTATTCAATAGGGCTATGTTATAAGACAATAATGGCTTAATCAATAGTTTAGATATAAATGTTTGCTACAATATATTTTACTATGAAAGGTAGAATAATCTGAATTTTTTATGCAAAGTTCTTTTACAGGAAAGTTAATACGATAGCTTTAATCATTAACCTTAATCTGGTTCCTGAAAGTAAAAAAAAAAAAATAATTTCATTAGCAATGTCTTAAATGTGGATAGGCCACAATGCATTTTGGCAGTTAGCATTTGTTAGTTAAGCCATTTGTACTAACCATTTTGAATAACAAAATGCTTCATAATATGCTCAATGACTTTTTTTGTGTGTACATCTACCTCTTTTCTTTTAATCCATTGTTTTACATTTTGCATTAAAAAGTTTTGCTTTATGTTATACATCATTTGTTCTTTCATTGGCTACTTTTTTCATATTACCCTAACTCCAATTTTAGGTGTCATTAGTCATTTTGTGTTTTTTAGTTTTAAACTTATATACATTACCTGATAAATTATTAGTTAATATTTGATTTGAATTTAAAAAATTTAATATAAGTATGTATTTTTATTATATAGACCAAAATCAGATGTTTATTCTGACCCATGGAATGCTATTGCTGCCTGGTTTCTTGGACCACGTGCAGAAAATAGAGAATCTCTTAATCGCCTTGTATTAAGCACATTAAATTTTTATGAAGATTGCAGAGAGAGTTATTATCCTGCTGATCCATGTTACATCACCGAAGAAGTCAAAGCATCTCCTGGATTTCGCGGTGAATTAAAAGATTTAGAAAAAAAGTTAGGAGAACTTAATGATGAATTGGCGGACTCCATCCCTTTCTATAGTACAAGATACCAGGTTAGAGTATAATGCTTAAATAATATTTTTACATTACGTTAATTGCAAAGAAAATACAAAAATTGGTTAAATAAAGTATTAAATGTGTTAATAAAAAGATATTTATTATTTTAATTAACTAATTATGAAAAAAAGCGATATTCTTTATTATTAGGACAGTTTTTCTGAAACTTTTTTCATATATTTATTGTATTGATTTTGTTTAACAGAGTTTTCCCAATATCTAGCTTAGTTAAGAAAATGTCTACTAAATTCTTATACTAAACATAGCAAATCATCTGAACTATAATGTTTTAAATAAAGTGTCTATAAGAACAGAGCTAAAAGTTACCCACCACACTAGCTTAGTTATTGCTTTACAGACACTGAAACTTAAAATATGATAGTAGTAATAGTAATAATGATAATAGTAATAACAATAATAATAATAATAATCATAATAATAATAGTAATAAAAGTAATAAAAATAATAAGAATTACTGAAAACTTTTCAAAGCTTTATAAGATTGTGTTAAGATAAAAACAATTTTTATCATAACACATTTATTAGGAATTGATTTTAGTAAAAATTCGTTGTGGTACTGGGAATATTATAGTGAATAGTTTGTGGTTGTGATAGAAATATAGAGCCTAATTTGTTTTACTGAAACAGTGAACACCAAAATTCACTTTTTTACAATTTAACAATGTTTCAAAAGCTTAAAGAAATTTTTTTTAAATGTGATTACCACAATATAAATAATTCAATTGACTGAATATTAATATTTACTTTTTAAATTAGGGGCATATGACAGCAGAAACAACAATACGAGCTACTCTTGGGTATTTTGTTGGAATGTTATGGAATCAAAATAATGTTGATTCATCAGCATCTCCTGTAACTACTCAAATGGAAATTTTAGTGGGAAAACATTTATGTGATCTTATACAATTTTCACAAAATAACCCTACGTCATGGGCACACATAACTAGCTGTGGCTCTGTTGCAAACATTGAAGCTTTATGGTCAGCAAGAAATCTAAAGTTTCATCCATTGGCTATCAAAGCTTGTGTTATGGATGTAGATGCAGACCCAAAATTAAAAGGTTTGTTATATTATAAAATATAATTATTGTATTTTTAGTAATTCTATGTTTTGCTCAGTATAACCAATTCTATTTTCATTTAATCAACTCTGCTACATGTTTTACTGTTTGTCTATATATTAAATGTTATATATTTATAAATTTACCAAAAAGTTATTGATTTTTGATTTATTTTAAGTTTAATATTGAAGGACAATTGAAATTTGCAAGATGTAATGCTTTAACATTATACTAAAGTTGAAGCTAATAAAGTTCATTAATTACTCTATTAAATGTGGATGAAATCAATGTTTTTATTAATCATCAGTTACAAAATCTTTAGTCTATCCATCATTATAAAAACCTTTAGTTTGTCTGTCTCTCATTACAAAAATTTTTAGTTTGTCTAAAAAACTATTGCGGTAATAGTGTTATTAAAAGAAAAAATTTAATGAGCAAAAAATATTAAACATTGCAACAGCAACAATTTATCTGTTTATTTATGATCTTTAGGTGCAAGACTTTGATATCTGTAACTAGGATATTCTTTTTGATAAATTGTTCTTTGATAAAAAGTTTGCATAGTTATCAATAGCTCTTCATTTGTAAAGTTAATTCTGTCTTCATTTGTATACAGGGTGGCCAGCAATCTAGAAAATCTGGAAAAGTCAGGGATATTTTAAACCATGGTGAAAAGCCAGAGAGTATATTAAACACTATATCTTCATTTGTATAGTTAAAACTGTCTCCCTCATTTGTATAGTTAACACTATCTCTTCATTTGTATAGTGAAAACTATCGTATTTGTATAATCAGGGTGTTAGCCAGCCCGTTAGCACCACATATAACGCAGAATTCCCAATTGGTTAAAACTTCCCAAAGCTTTAAAAGATCATTGTAAAAAAACAACAACCTTTATCAGACTAAGATTACCTAAGGTGTTACACTAGACACATAGAAACATAATTAATAGGCACGCTAAAGAAGTGAATTAATTTAATTTTTTTTATTTGTCCTTATTATTCAAAAACTCTTTATTTACATTTTTACTTTTTATCTTAAGTTAGGTAAGTTACACAAATTTTTACAGATTAATAAATAATACTGTAATAAATAATAGTTTACTTTTTTTATTAAAAAAATAAAAAATGCTTTTAGTAAACTAAATTTGCTGGTAAAGTATACCGAAAATAACAACAACAAAAAAATCAAAAATGAAACTTACAATGAAACTTATCATTTATGTTTTATTGGCGTAAAACATAAATAAAGGATAATTAAGTTTATATAAATTTTTATAATTTCTTTTAATTTTATTTACAAATACAATACTTTAATTTACAAAAACAAAATTTATTAATAGAAAAATTATTTATTATTTTTAATTTATAAATACAAATTTTACTAGATATTTAAATTCATCCTTGAACTTACTTGCCCTTGTGCGACGAACAAGTTCTCACTCTGACCCTTGAATGTCTTTGTTGCTTATTTAAATTAATTCTAAGATATTGCAACAAAATTTCTTTCAACTAAGAATCTATTCTACTGAAATTGGTAAGCCAAGCCAAGCCAAGTTTCTCCTCTAAAAGCTATCGAGCTATCTATTTAAAAAAAATTTTTACTTATTGCTGACAACATTTTAAAGCCTTAAATATCATATTTAATGCAATTTTAAATCACTATAAATCATTTAAAATTTATTTAATGATAAAAATTATAATATAAAATTAGACAAATAAAAATACGAATATCTATGTAAAAAGTTCAAAAACATTTTTAAAGTATTTTAAAACTTAAAATTTTTAAATAGTTAGAAAATGTTAATTATTTAAAAATTAAATATTCAAAAACTTTCCAAACAATATAAAGTGTTTTTATCAACAGTCGTCAATTAAAAAGTCATTTCAGCTGTAAAAAAAGTTACAAGAGGATTGTGGAAACCGTCAAAAGTGTTTTGTCATCAAAATTTAATACTATTAAGAATACTTTTTATGATTATTAGGAAATTATTAAAAAATGCTACTTTAACTATTGTTGTAATGTTTGCAACCACAATAATTCCTCTGAACAACTAACATTATTAACATTTTGTAAAGTTCTATTACATAATCATTAACGGTTGCAGCAATAAATCTTTTGGAGATTAATTCTACACATAAATTGACAAATATTTGTCAATTTATGTGCCAGTTATTTGTGAAGCACCAATACCCAATCAACTTATAACTATAAGTTTAAATTTTTTTTATATATTAGTCAGTTTATCAGTATATTATTTTATATTACCATGTCAAGTATAAAATAAAAATAAAATAAATATACTTGTGGCATTATAAGAACTCCAAGTAGTTCCAATCCTCTTTTATTTTGCACTTAAACTTAATTTTACTCAAATTAATTTCCAAAGAAACATTTAATGAAAAAAATACTCGTAAAAAACATAACAATATTTTTGAATACTTTCTTGAGCATTAGTTTTAGTTTAGTAAAACATTTTTATTATTATTATTCATATTATTATTCAAATTTTAAAAGCATTAGTAATGTTTTTAAAAAAATTACACACTATAGCAGGCTTGGACAGGAATGGCATGTGGTTGCACGCTGTAACTGACCACACTTATAGTTTTTTTTTTTTTTTACAATATTACCATGTCTGCTTTGATGTTTTAACAATTTAAATGCAATAATATTACGAATAACTTTTAACCATTGATCTTTTTTTATTTTCCATGAAGGTTTTAAATAAAATAAAAAATTAATTATGATTGTTTCAAATAAATGCATTTTGTGTAAATTAACCAAAAATGTTATATTTAGATTTTTTTTGTAGACATGTATTTAGTTTAGTTTTGTACTTTTTAAGATTAATTTAAACTTTTAAAAGTATTTTTCCATGTCTGAACATTGTTTGAAAGCTTTTTTTAAGTTACTTCAAGTTATAAATAAGTTTGCAACTTTTTAGGAAAAAAAAAATGTTTATACAATTTAAAAATAATCCTTATAACACATTTTAATAATTAAAATGAAATCATTTATTAAACAATCATTAGAAGTAATTTGTAAAAGTGTTTTTCGTTACTTATTCGCTTCGAGTTTGAGTTTTATTTTAGTCCTTATTTCTTTTCTTTTTTTTTTGTTAATAATTAAAATTTTAACATTTTAATAATTAAAATGAAATTTATTAAACAATCATTAGAAGTATTTTTTGTTACTTTTATAATTTGTTTCTAAAGATAAGTTTTAAAGTAATTTGTTTCAAACACAATTAAAAATGTAACAAAAAGTAATATTCTCTTCGAGTTTGAGTTTTATTTTAGTCCTTATAAATTTTCATTTTTGTAGGGAATTGTTTTCTTTTTTCTTTCCTTTTTTTTACTTTTTTTTCCTAATTTAAGTTTAGCTTTGGGTTTCTTTTTTCAGCACATGTCTGAAATGTTTAAATCATCAAAACATGTAAAGAGCCCTGGTCAAATTGAAACAAAAAACAAATTTGCATGATCAGCAATAGCGTTTGATCACACGCTTTTTCTGTCCAAGCCTGTATAGTGGTAGAGCACTTATTTCATAAATAAGAAGCTCTGAGTTTAAGCTCAACTGTGCTCAACTTGTTCCTTAACACACCTTCCTTGTATATATGCATGTATGTATGTATGTATGTATGTATGTATGTATGTATGTATGTATGTATGTATGTATGTATGTATGTATGTATGTATGTATGTATGTATGTATACATGTATACATGTATACATACATGTATGTATGTATGTATGTATGTATACATGCATGTATTTATACTCACATGCTTATATATGCTTCATTTTAGCTGGTGCCAATATGCCGGTTTATTTGGCTGAAATAGAAAAGGAAATTCCTCTTCAAGAATGTAGTCAATGGCAACTTTTAAACTTGGATGTTGACACAGTTTGCAATCTTACGTCTAATTTGAAAACATATTGTAAACTTGAAAACACTAAATTGATTGACGCTGCACTTAAGGTATAGTTTTTCAATTCTGTTAAATATGAAAAGATACAAAATTTGTTAAACAATTTTAATCATGAAAAAATAAAATAAAACATTCTTTCTCTAAAAAAAATAAAACAATCTTTTTTTTTTCAGAAAATTTAGTATTTTTTTTATAAAAAAAAAATACCAAGCTTAAATTATCAGAAAAATTTTTTTAAAAAAAAAAAATGCCTTGTTTTAAAGAGTAAAATAACGCGGCCTTTATGAACATTAAGCCATTTAATGTAAGTGGTAAGCCATTTCAGTCAAGTCACTTTTTATCATTATTTTATATTTAAACAAGTCTAATGATATCATATAAGCGGTATGATAAAAGAAGTAATTAACTTTATAAAAACCACTTATGAAGTTTGAGTTACGATTATGTAAAAAAGTTTGAATGACATTTGATATTAGCGCTATTTACAAATGTAATAAGGTAAAAAAAGATAGAAAAAATAGGATGTTATATGACATGTTGAAAAAGAAATTATAAAAGAAATTTAACAAAAAATTTTTTCATCTTGCAAGCGCAGGAATATTTATTTATAAGACAATTTCTCATAACAAATAATAACAAAAACAATTACCTAATTTAGAAAAATAAATAAAAAACAAAACAAAAAAATATTAGCTAAAAAGTAGTACACATTAAATTTTTATTTTATATTAGCGCCACATTTGATATTTTAATTCTTTTTTTTTTTTTTTTTTTTTTGTTTTGTTATAAGAATTGATTTTTATAAAAAAAATTAAAAAACTTTAATTATTACAAATTAATATAAGAAATAATAGTAAAAAAAAAAAATAACATTTTAATTCATTTATACAAATGTAGAAAAAAGACATTTTTGTTAAATGATAATAAAAAAATCAAATTTATTTATTTAATATTAAAAAACAAAAAAAAAAAAAAAAATTAAACAAAATAGGAAGTGTGCAAGTTAAAATTCCACATTTTAACTTGCACACTTCCTTTTTGAAAAAATTTTCTCTATAAAAAAACAATGTATTTCTCACTGAAACCAAATAATACCATTTATAAAAAAATGATTTTAACTAAATACTTTTTTATTACCAACATTCTTCTTCTCAATCGAAACCAAATAATGAAATTTTTATTTGAATATATATTAAACAAATATTAATTTTATCTTTTATTATTTTTGCCTTTTTTATATTACTGTATTTATAAAACTATTTTTTATTTAAAACAAAGTCTGAGAACGCTTAAAACTATATAATGATGATTATATTTTTATCTTACTAATAAAATAGTTTTACAATATTTGAAAAATGTGTTGTGAATAAAAATGTTGATTGCTATGTTTTAGTTGTTTATTAATTATTTTTTTGACGCTGATTCCATATATGCAATGGACTTTCCTGTATCATCCATTGTTAAAAAATTATAACAACTTATGTATTTGCACAATATTTAGAATTTTGGTTTTAGCATTGTTCTGCCAGAGCAATGTAAATCCAAAAGTTAAGAGAAAACCAAAAAACCATCTTGACCATTGTTAACTGGACATACTATCCTCAATATAATTGGTACCACATGATAACAAGTTGCCAATGTTTTCTTAACTTTATTTTACAACTGGAAGAATCGTTGAATGTCTGTCAGAAAATAGAGTGAGCATCATAGAAATGGATACATTTGAAGATTTTGTCCCAGTCATATATTTTAAACCCTAACTCAGAATGAACTGGATGATTTGATCAGATATATAAATCTTATTAAATCAGAAGCTAAACTTTTAACTCTGTAAAAGAAATATTGAAGTTAACAGAGTTACTTCTCAATGATAATCAATCACTGCCTCTTTTTGTACAGATGATAGAAAATGTCTGTAATCTTTTTAATAAAATAAATTATAAGAAATTCAACTGTTAATTCACAAGTTCATATTTGTGGTTACTGTGGAAACTGTGATATTAGTGGTATATTCAAGCATGTATTGAACTTCAGTTTAGAAAAATTAAAGTTGCAAGATAGCTTTTGCTTCTGTTGCTTCACATTATGCTGGGATTGGCAAAGTATTTTGTAAAGTCTCTAGACTATGGAGGAAATTTTTTAAGAAATCCAACTTATGCTCCTGAAACAAGATAAAGATTAGCTTATACAGTTATAAGCATGAAAATAACATAACCTGCAATTTTTTGAATAACAATTAACAATTTTTTTTTGTACTAATTACTGAAAAAATTTTATTAAATTTGTTTTGACACTAGGGTGCGTCGATTTTCAATTTTTTTGAAAATTTGATGATGGCTACTATTTTTTTTTTGTAAATCAGTATGCAAAACATAAAAATAATTTTTTTTTGAAAAAAAAAATATTTTAAGCTACTTTTTTTCACCTTCAAACTATTATTTTTTTGGACTTTTTTAACCATATAGCAAACTAAAATTTAACTCGCAAAATTTTGCCAGTTAAATTTGTCAGCAAAATTGTCCATTTCAAAATTTAGTTTAACAAACAAGGTGTAAACAACAATTATATTTTAAATATACGCTCTCCTTTTCGCAATGTTTATATTTTTTTGGATAAATAAGGAATTACGTTTATCATTAACTGTGTGCTTTATATATATATATATATATATATATATATATATATATATATATATATATATATATATATATATATATATATCAGGCTTGGTCGGGAAGCGGGTGCGATCGCACTCGATAATTGACCACGGAAATAATATTTAGTTGTGAAAAACCGGCCAGATTTTTTAGTCGTTTTGAGAACATTTCAGAAATAAACAAAAAAGCGCAATAAGATTAACTGGACCGATGAGAGACAGTTAAAACAAAAAAAAAGCTTTTAACGCGAAAAAACTTTAAGCGAAAAAAATTTATTAAAGCAGTTATTTTTGAAACGTCGCTTTTTTATAATTTTTTTTATAAAATTAAGCGACATTTTTTATATACAGTAACAACTATAAAGAAACAAATGTTCTTCAATTTAACAAAGAGTATACATAATTTTTTTTTTATACTTATGTCTTATTTCCAGTGCTAGATTGAGGAGGTGGTGTGGGGGTAGTAGGGCTATAGCCCTGGGACTCACAATGTTAGAGGAAATAGTCAAGAGGACTATTCGTTTTTTTTTTTAGTCATTTTTACACTGTGGTACATAAAAAAGGCCGCCAAAATAATGCAGCCCCCGACCCTGAAAAGTCCAACAAGATTCAACCCATCAAACTAGTGCTAGATGATTTATTTATAAATAAAAAAAGTTTTTTCAATAACTGTTTTATGCCTCGCGTAGTTTAAAAAGTTTATCACATTTGAAACAATTCTTCTTAGTAAGATGAACAAATAAAATAATTAAGTCATTGAGTTACTGTAGAAATTCAATTAGCTAGATAAAAATTAACTATAAACGTTGATTTACTTTGTGAGGAGGAAGCGGAACTGTTTCACAATACCGCTGATGATGTTTAGTAAGAGGGCTTTATAATTTTAATACATTGCATACATAAAAATACATCTCTTATATAAAAAATTTGGAATATACTAATAAAATCTATAATATATTTACAAAACGTTGACAAGTTAAAAAATATAAATTTAAAACATTTATTACTGTATACAAATAATGTTTGTTTAAAACATTTATAGCTTTGTAGATGTGGTCCCAAGAATTAAAATAATAGTTCGTTTGATAGTATATTCTTAAAATAATTTATGCAAGAAATCTCAACGCTAACGTAACAAAATTCAAATAATACTGTTTTTTAAAAAATTTCAACAGAATACTCAGGACATTCGGTTAATATTTTTTGAATACTCTAAAAATTTAGGTTAATATTTTTTACACCAATAGAATTAGTTGTTTGTAGAATTGGCGGGATTTTCGTTTTCGCTAATATTCTTTTTTTATTTTTCCGCACTAAGATGTTTGAGAACATTCAAATTTATGTATGTTTCCGTGTAAGTCCGTAAAACAAAATTTTAAAATTTACAATAAAATGAACTCATTATATTGCGGACAAACAAGGAAACATACATAAACTTAAAAATCTGGCCGGCTTTTCGCAACTAAATATTATTTCCGTGGTCAGTTATCGAGTGCGATCGCACCCGCTTCCCGACCAAGCCTGATATATATATATATATATATATATATATATATATATATATATATATATATATATATATATATATATATATATATATATATATGTATATACACAGATTTGTAATACCAAAACTAAATATACATCAGATCATTATTTTAGTTGGAAAGAGTTTAGAGTAAAATGTAAAACTTAAAACTTTTTGAACACTCATATGTTTATATTTATTTCATAAAACAACAAGTCCAAGTCATAGTTATCTAACTAAGCACAATTAAATACTAGTTTGCAAGTAATTCTTTTCAATGAGGTTTACCATATCTTTTTTACTAGAATTATTTGACATAAGTTCTCTGCTAGCTATTTGACCTTGAATGTAAGTATTTCTTCTGGCCTGACCAAAGACATGACAAGCACTTTCAGATGTCATTTTTACACATCTTTCAACAGATTGTGTATGAGAGGGCCACTTTGTTACTTTCATTGGAGTGTTAATAAATTCCTTCACTGCTTCAGTTGATAGATTACATGTTAAAGGTGGTTTAGTAATATCACTCCAGTCTATAAGTTCAGACAAACAAGTTGCTTTCATGATGATGGAAAGAGTCTTTCAAATCCTAAAAGATCTCCAAATTGAAGTGCAACATTCCCAGCTCCTCTTAATTCAACTATTTTATTAACTGCTTCTTTTCTCTCATCTTCAATTTGACTACAGAGCATACTTTGCAAAACTGATTCAGGGTAGGCATACCATGCTGATCGTTTAAAAGTGGGTAAAACAATGTCAATTACTTCCTGAGTTTGATTTTTTAAAAATTGCATATGTTAAAGTAAGTTTATTGGTCCTTCCACCCAGCATGAATTTACTTTGATGTTAAACCAGTTAGGAACATACACACCTACTATGTACTCAACAATCATTCTCAACCTATTTAAAAGGTCACCTGTTTATCCATGTTTAGACACCCAGATTCTGCAAAATCTTAAAACAGTAGTTAGCCATCTACTATGACAAACAGGACCAATTTCTAGTAATGCCAGTCATTTTGGCAGAACTCCAGTTTTAATAGATGTCACAATTTGGTATGCATAGCTCTGATCGGTGCTTAGATCTTTGATAATGTCAGGACTGAGGTAGATAAGTGGAGAGCCTTCACACACTTTTGAAAATTCTGGGTTAATTTCAAGGTTGGTAGCATCGTTCAACATTGTTCAAAACTTCTTAACCCTAGTTCCCCAGTGTGCAGGTCACATACAATCCATACAAGTTTTTTATTAAGTTTTTTTTCAACCCATTGTATTACTCCTCCTACCCATCCAGTATTTACATTAGTACTATCACAACCTATGGCTTCCAATGTCAAATGTAAACATCTTTCTTTAAGCCATTCAACTAAATGATCGGCAGTTATCTCAGCAGGTCTCTTAAAATCAGATTCTTCAGGAACAAAATGGAATAGATAATTTCCACCAGGTTCACTGCACACAGTATAATGTTCTTCTTTTACTAGACCTGGGAATTTTCTGCCTCCAGCATCAAAAAAAATTTTAGTGTCATCTTTTCTACCATCAAAAAAATATAACTCAAACCATTATTGTTTAGTTCCTTTTGGAATTTTGAGGTCAGTTCTTTTCCAATTTTTTCTTGAGCTAGTTTAACTTTGTTATGGTCGATAATTAAGCAAGTGTTTCCTTCAGTGATAATTTTAGCATCAATAAGGGCAGTCGTTGCTATTTCTGCAGTTTCTCTTAAACCTGTATGATGCCTTAAGCTTGCTAATGCTATATTTTTTATATTCATGGTGTTATACAATTGATTTTTTTCTTTTACTTTTTTTGAAATATTCATTTTTATTTTATCATTTGTCTCTTCACGGACTTCATCTGAGTCACTCTCGGGAAAGAAAAAATCATTTTCTTGATTTACAATCTCCTGGTCTAGTTTTGATTTTTTTATTTGTGAAACCTGATTTTGTATTGTATGTCGTTTAATTTTTTTACTTTGTTTCTGAGTTTCAATACGATCAATGCCAGCTATTTGAAGGACAGCTTTGATTCCAACTTTTTCTCTTTGATGTCTTACAAAGTTCAACTCAAGAAGAGGAATCTTTTGTCCTTTTTTACAAGTACATACAATGTGAGCTTTTCTGTCACAATTTTCTCCACACTTATTTTCTAAGCAAAAAAATATTTTACAATTGCATGTAAACAAATCAAAAAGTTTATCAAGTTTTTCCATAAATTTATTTCTAATTGGTGTGGCTACATTGCCATTACTAACTTTAACGGCTAATAACCACAAGTCTTTTACTTTACTTTTAATTCTTCTTTCAGAATTAATAACTGGACTTACAAATTGAGAATTGGCTTTTTTCCACTGTAACAAAATTTTTGGAAGAATATCCTTTACAAGCTGATCAACAGTATAGTTTCTGTAATCTTTTTCACTAATCTCTCTTAAATATAAGCCATATTTGAGGATATCTCTGGAAGTTGGGAGTTCTGATGGAAGAAACTCTGAACTTTTTCCAATTAAGTTACAATTAAGTTACATTAAGCTGACAAGCTGATTTACTTCTTGTTTTAGTGGTGTATGACATCTTTATATCAATTTAAAAAAAAAAGGTTTCCAAAAATTGTTTATGCTCTGTATTTTTTTTTACTTCAACTACTAATATAAGAATAAGTCAGATGCATATTACTAATATAGTATATATATATATATATATATATATATATATATATATATATATATATATATATATATATATATATATATATATATATATATATATATATATATATATATATATATATATATATATATATATATATATATATATATATTAGGGTGTTCCAAAAAAATGGCTTTTTTGAATTTCAACTAACATTGCTTTTCATAAGGTGCCCCAACCTTGATATTACTAATAAATTTTTTTTTTTTTCATGATTAGATCACTCCATGACTTCCCTCAATGAGCCCAAAGGTCATTTTTTGCCCGTTTTTTGCCCATATTTTGGACTAGCTGAGGGGAGTGTTACCATTATCCAAATTAATTTTTCTTTCTTTTTTTTTGTTGTTTTATATTTTTGAAGGAAATAAAAATATGATGTTAAGCTTAATTTTTTTTTTTTTTACTTAAACAATGAAGACCAAAAAATTAAAAAAAAGGCATTTTTAAGCTTTTTTGCACTATATTAGTGTTCTGCTTATTAACAAGATACTTTACGTATTAAAATATTTATATTTACATAATAAAATCATATTTATGATTAGTTTCTGAAGAAATTAGTTGTCAAACATAGTTCATGTTTATAAATTTATTTTGTAAACAAAGAATTCTTTACATAATCACATTTTTTTTTAATTGTTCTTTCACTCTTATATTTGTTTGATACGAGGAAGGTACTTTGTCTTTTATCCTCATTATGCGATTTATTGATCAACTCCTATTAAAGAATATTTAAAAGTAATGAGCTTGTAAAATAAATTAAGATTTTAACATAAACATTAAGGACCAAACATATAAAATAGTTACCTGAACTAGTTTTATAGCCCTCTCACTACAGTCATTTACTACTTCAAGATTATTCACAAATTGTTTGAATTCTAAGTAATAGTCATTTAGATCCCATGTCTCAGATGGAGTCTTAAGCCACTGTACTTCAGCATTTGCATGGTTTAAGATATGAAAAATTAACCAACTCTGGTCAGTTATAAGCGGGGTCAAACTTGGGGGAGTATCATCATTAAACATAAGGGAGTTCAGTATATTTAAATTAACTTGATGTCTTTCTATGGCATAAGTTGTAGGTCTTGGGGATGAGTACAACTTCTTGGCAATGTCACTCCGTTCTTGTACATTTTTGTCAACAAGAGACATAACTAAAATATTTGGGTCTATGTACCAGGTGTGTCTCTTTAGAGACTCTATAACAGGTTTTGCCTGGACAGGATTGACTTTTGAGTATCTCATCATCTGCCAAAGAGCTTTCATATCCTAAAGATTTTTAGACTATGAAATATTACACAAAATTTTCAAAGAAAAAAAAGTAATAAAAAGCAAAATGATTAAAAACTTTTAAAACATAGAAATGTCACCTGATATGGAGCGACAGCCGGAATTTCAGCCGGAATTTCAGCCAACTTTTTTTTAAGTTAATTAGTTACTAAAAAGATAAATGGTAACCAAAAATATAAAATAAGTTAAAAATCAAATTGCATACACAAGGTAAAATATAATTGTTCACAAAATGAAACAATTATACGCGTATTTAAAATATAACAGAAAACACATTAAAATGGTACATAGGACAAAGGTAGTAAAAGGTAGTGAAATATAGTAAAATAAATCAATGTTTTTGAATTTTTTGATCTTCATTGTTCAAATAAAAAAACAAATTAAGCTTAACATTATATTTTTATTTTCTTCAAAAAGATAAAATAACAAAAAAAAAGAAAGAAAAATTAATTTGGATAATGGTAACACTCCCCTCAATTAGTCCAAAATATGGGCAAAAAACGGGCAAAAAATGACCTTTGGACCCATTGAGGGAAGTCATGGAGTGATCTAATCATGAAAAAAAAAAAAAATTATTAGTAATATCAAGGTTGGGGCACCTTATGAAAAGCAATGTTAGTTGAAATTCAAAAAAGTCATTTTTTTGGAACACCCTAATATATATATATATATATACATCCATGCATACATTTATATAGATAAGGTTTTTGAAAGGCATTAAAATTTAATAACAAAGCATTATAAATTGTAGATTTTTCAACTTGTAAAACAAACGGTTAATAATAAAAATTTTTATTACATCCAAAAAAGTGTAAACACTGCGAAAAGGAGAGTGTATTTTTAAAATATAATTGTTGTTTACACGTTGTTTGTTAAACTAAATTTTGAAATGGAGTATTTTTCGGACAGAGTTAAATTTTAGTTTGCTACATGGTTTGGTAAATATGCGATCTTCTTCGGAGATTACGGCAAACTTCAGTTTTTAGAATGAAAAACTAAGTCCAAAAAAATAAAAGTTTGAGAGTAAAAAAAAGTAGCTTAAAAATACTTTTTTTTTTCAAAAAAAAGTTATTTTCATGTTTTGCATATGGATTTACAAAAAAAAAATACTAGCCATCATCAAATTTTGAAAAAAAGTGAAAATCTACACACCCTATTTGACACTTCAACCTAACAGAATAAAAAAAAATCACATCAATAGTAGTTTTGCATTTTATTTCAGAAACAAAACATTAGTTTAAAAAAAAGGTTGCAGTCTTTGAAATAGTAGTGGTATAAATAGTAGCAGTGGTGAAATAGCAGTGAAAATGGAAAAAAAAAATTTTCTAGTGCTAAACATTAAAAAAATTAATTTTTTAACATTTGAAAGTTAAAAATAAGTATAATATAATAATATTTACCCTTAGTAATTTGTTGGATAAAGGCTACTCAACGCTGATGAATTGAGTCAACTAGACATTGATATTTTTTTCAGGTATTGCATACCATTCTTGTTGAATAGGTTCCCAGAACTGCTGAGCATTAGTTGGATTAGCAGCAGAAACTGCTTTTTTCTAAAATATTATACTTTTAATGTCTCCCTATAAGCGGAGACGTTAAAAGTATAATATTTTAATGGGGTTTAGGTTGGTTTTCTTATCAGGCCACTCCATAACCTGACCTGAAATCACTCCTTTGCCTTGCAACTAGCGTGTTTTTTGTCGTTGTCTTGTTGGAAGACCCAACAAGACAACGCTGTTTATCTTCATTAGCATAGGACAGCATGACATTATTGAGGATGTCAACATATAGCTGTTGGTCTGTGATACCATTAATCTTATAAGTAGGGTCGACACCATTATATGAGAAACAACCCCATACCATGACTTTGGCTCCACCATGTTTCACAGACTTAATGATATTTTTTTTCTGAAATTCTGTATTAGCTGGACATCTTACATATTGTCTTAAACCTGTACCTCCATAAATAACAGTTTTCCATTCATTTATTGATAATATCTTCTCTATCAGGGTACAGCTGGGGAGGACCTATCAAAGAAGTTTTTTAGAATGAAGAAATCAAAAATATTTCTCTTGCATGACATAAAATTAAAAAGGATGGGGGAGAGAGAGAAATGACTAGGAAATAATTAAAAGATACTAAAAAACATTATACCTGATACTGATTTTCTTTTACATTATTTAAAAGGTGGTTCATCTTCTTCACTTATATAATCTTGATCTTTATCGTTTGTTCTCACTAAATTATTAGGAACCAACTGATCTGTTTCTTCCACAGCTCTTCATGTCTAGTGTATTTTTTCAATTTTTCTCTTGATCTAAATAAATAAAAACTTTTGAAATTCAGTATATAAAAATGTTTAAATATTTGAAAAATCTTAATCAGTTTTAGTTTCATTAAATGTTTATTACTCTGGTCTCTAACTCTTCATCAACGCAAGCACTGATAAACATTTTTCTGTCTTATCTTTGATTTTGAAGAAACTCTAGGTCTTCTTTTATTACAATAAACTGTCTCTTGGCATAGAAGTATCTTGACACATGGTGTACTCAAATTTTTGAGAGCTGATGTCAAACAGGTTATCTGTCATTATCAGGAACTTTTCTTGGTGCTTTTGAGATGGATTTGGTTTCATTTTAAGTGTTTTTTCATTACAAATAGCTTTATGTTGCTTGTAAATTTCTAGAAACTTGTTTAGTATGCTTACTTCTGAAAGAACATAGTTCTGGAAACCACAAGAGGCCCAAATATTTACAATACTCCAGAGCTAACAGTATTCACCAGTCACAGCATTGCAAGGTCCATCTGTTCCTTTGCACTTCATATCTCCAGAAGATGTTTTTTGTGCACAAGCAAAGTTAGTCTTGATTGGTCTAAATCTTTTAACCCTAGGGGAAATAACATACAGAAATTATCTAATAACATGACCATTAGTAGGCAATAGCCTGCTAGGTAAAAAGCTCAGTAGAGTTTCAAGAAGATAGACAGGTCTTCTTGGGTTGTAATTGATTGGCTTTACAGTTCCTTTTTAAGCTTTTGCCATTTTTCTGAAATATTCAAATGTTTGAACAAAGAATTGATTTAAACATTTATAAAGTTAAATATAAAAATTATTAAACTGTGCTTTTAAGTGTATTGAGTAATAATATAAGTAATGATGGGGTGGTGGGGTCCTAGGATATAATAATATATAGTTACGATGGGGTGGTGGAGTCCTAGGGTTTAGAGTAAGGATAAAGGGGCGGAGGAGTTGCTGTGCATTGTCATTATGGTTATGAATAAAATAGTATGAATAAAAACAAACAAAAGTATTTTTATTGTATATCAGCATTAATCTACTATTTCCTCTGTTATGTAAGCTTGAACAGGAAAATGATTTCTGCTGAAATTCGTCAAATATATTAATTTTTAACATAATACATGTATTATTTTATAATGTCTGAAATAATCATATCAAATATCTTATACAATGTAAAAGATATTTTATTGTACAAACATGTAAAATATACTTGTTTATAAAATAAAAATGCTAATTCCTTGTAAAAATTGTTTTTTTACTTGTAGGTGTTACAAGCATCCAGCATATATATATATATATATATATATATATATATATATATATATATATATATATATATATATATATATATATATATATATATATATATATATATATATATATATGTATAGCATTTTAAACTGGTAAAAGTCTTTTTTTGCAAGAAATTTTTTCAAAATAAGAACTATGAATCTCAAATCCATCCTTGTATGGAATACTGTTGCCTTATCTGGGGTGAATCTTCTAATGATGCTGTTTCTCTTTTAGACAAGATGCAAAATTGCATTGTAAACATAGTTGGACCTGCTTTTGCAGCCAACCTCCAACCATTATCACATTGTCATAATGTTGCTTCTTTTTCTCTTTTCTGCAAATACTCTAATGGACACTGCTTCAAAGAGCTAGTGTCGCTTGTGCTATCTACTATAATTCATGCTCTTTCACTCGCCATTCAATCAAGTCTCATCCTTTTTCTGTCACTGTTCCTAAGTGCTCCAAAAACTCCTATTTCTCTAGTTTTTTTCCTCGAACATCAGTTCTTTGCAGTTTGCTTCCTTCATCTTGCTTTCCTGATTCATATAGTTTGCAATCTTTTAAGTTGTCTGTCAATCGTTATCTTGCTCTACAATCTTCATCATTTCTCTTCCAGTAACTTCCAACTCTAATAGTGTTTGCTTGCAGCCTTGTTGGAAGCGAAGATGTTTTAAAAAAAACAAGTTCTTAAATAGATTCCATCTGAGAAATTACTCTACTTCACAGATTAGTTAATCTCCTTGCCATTTTTGAAATTTTTTTTGGAAAACTAACATTTGATATATGTATATATATATATATATATATATATATATATATATATATATATATATATATATATATATATATATATATATATATATATATATATATATATATATATATATATATATATATATATATATATATATATATATGTGGATGTATATATATGTGGATGTATTTTTGAATGTATATAACTTAATTTAATTTAGAAAAATATTATTTAACATTATATTTTTATTCAAGAAACATTCAGTTATTTCGATTGGGTTAGCTAACTTCATGCATAGGCAGAAACTTGAAAACTCTCCTGTTATTTTTTGTCCTGGAACGTGCCATTATTCATATCCCAAAGCAGCTACAATTTTGGGATTAGGTGATCAAAATATAATTCCTCTGGAGGCAGATTGTAACTGCAGAGTTAGGATGGCAGGTAATTTAAATTCTTTTTAAAAAAATTTGTTTTCCTTAATTTATTTTTTTAAGTTTAAAAACTTAAATTAATTCATTTTATTTTTAAGTATTGAGAAGTAAGTTGGAGCGCCATTTAGAATTAAAGATTCCTATCATTACAGTTGTGGCAGTTATTAGTTCGACTGAAGAAAGTGCTATTGATCCAATTTCGGAGATGTTTGAAATGAGAAAAGAATTTCAGAAACGAGTGCGTACTTTAATATACTATAATATATACTTAGATATAGTAGGGAAAGAAAATGCTAAAATGCAAAACTAAAATGCAAAACTAAAAAAAGAAAATTTTTTAGTTTTGACATATCTTGTAGTTGATTCCAGTTATATGATAGAGAGCAAAGTTTTGTTTTTTAGTGTTGTGAGATGTTGTGAAAGCAAAGTGAAAAATCTTGATTTTAATTTGATTTTATTCTACACTCTCATACATGTTTTTTTGTTGTTGTTGTTGTTTTTGTTTTTTAATTTTATTTTCTTTATTTCAAAAATGTAAATTTGGGTATCAAAATATTTTCTAATCAAAAATTGATCTACACACTACTTACAAAATATTTTAAATTTAGTTTCACAAAAGAGTGCGCCTTTTTTTATAAGCCTAAATTTTTTTTTATTTAAAAGATATTGGTGGTGTCCTCTACTGTTATGTAAAAGTTTCAGTATTTAAAATGACTTTTAGTTGGTGAATTATGTACATAACTTAAAGATGGTTTAAGTACAAATTAAGTTTTTAGTGTTGTGAGATGTTTTGTTTGTTAGTTGTGTTAGATGTTTTGTTTTTTAGTGTTGCGTGATGTTTTTTAGTATTGTATGGTGTTTTTTTAGTGTTGCGAGATGTTTTTTGTTTTTAAGTGTTGTGAGATGTTTTGCTTATTATAAGTTATGAAAACCATAACATGTTTCATTTTTAAGAACGTATTACTGCAACTACAAATTAATAGTTATCTGTGTTGTTATTTTATTATTAAAGAAAAGTAAATTACTAAATTTTTGTTTTAAACTTATGGTTGTAAGCAAATGATTTAAAAGGTTAATTAGTTTTCTTAGACATGTTTATGAAAATGTAATATATTGGGATTCATTTTAATAAATTGTCGTTAAAAAAAAATATATATATATATAATAGTGTTTTCAGTGTTTTTATGTGTTATTAAACAACTTATGAATTAAAAATTCTCTCATTTATTTTCATTTTATTATCAGGGGCTGAGTTTTACAATTCATGCTGATGCAGCCTGGGGAGGGTACATGCTCACAATGATATGTGATGCAAGTGCTGATCGATTAATGAAGCTGAAGGACCTTGGCTTTGTTCCTGAAATTCCATTATCAGAATATGCTACTTATCAATATCAATCTGTGAAATTGGCAGATACAGGTATTTTTTTTTTTAATTTTGTTTCAAAATGTATGCTTTGAAAATATTATATGAGAACTGACTAAGAAAATGTTTCATGTAATCAGTTTTGTTAGGGGTGACCTTTTTTTTAAATTTATATATTTTTTCTTTTTAGTCACCATTGATCTTCACAAAAGTGGTTTTTGTCAATACCCTGCAGGTGCTTTGGCTTATCGAAATGGTGAAATGAAAGGATTTATCACATTACAAGCCCCAGAGGTTTTTCACAGTGAAGATGATGTTTCTGTTGGTGTTTATGGCTTGGAAGGTTCAAAGCCAGGAGCTGCTGCTGCTGGAGTGTTGCTAGCACACAGGGTATATGCTGATATAAGTTGACATGATTTAAACTGCTAAATATATAGATTTTTTTAAATCTAATCTGTGGTCTTTTTAATTTTTTCATTATAGGTTCTTGGTCTAGATAAAACAGGATTAGGTCGTGTATTAGGACAATGTCAACTTGGTGCAAAGCTATTCTACTGTATGTGGATGACTGTTGCAAGAGACTATGATGATTTTATTTGCTTAAATTTAATTGATCATCACAAAAATTAGGCTCTCGAGACTTCTGGAGAATCTTTAACAGTATCAATAATAAGGGCAAATCTGTTATTCCTTCTCTCTTGTATGGTTCAGACTTTGTCACCTCACCTAAAGATAAAGCTGAATTGTTTGCTAAGAACTTTTCATCAATATCATCTCTTGATTCCACTAGTTGCGTTTTACCTGACATAGCCGTCAAACATGTTGATCCCTTGCTTGACATTCGCATCACTTCAGCTTCTGTATCTAAAGTAAATTCCTGCTTAGACTCTTCAACAGCTTGTGGTCCTGACAACATTCCTGTTGTAGTCTTGCAGAGGTGTTCTCCGGAGCTTTCATCCATACTTTCTAAACTATTTAACAAGTGCTTATCAGAGTCTTGTTTTCCATCATGCTGGAAAGCAGCATCTGTTATCCCTATTTTCAAAAATTCCGGAGAGCAATCTGATTCATCTAACTACCGTCCCATTAGTCTTCTTCCTGTCATAAGCAAGGTTTTTGAATCTTTAATCAACAAACACTTAATCTCTCATCTTGAATCAAATAACTTACTTTCTGATCATCAATATGGATTTCGGTCTTCTCGTTCTACAGCTGATGTGCTAACAGTAATAACCGATAGGTTTTACCGTGCATTAGATAGAGGTGGAGAGGTTAAGGCTATCGCACTTGACATTTCTAAAGCTTTTGATAAAGTTTGGCATGCTGGTCTTCTCCATAAGCTTTCTTCTTATGGTGTAGCTGGTAACGTCTTTAAGATTATTGAGTCCTTTCTTTCCAATTGTAGTATAAAAGTTGTCCTCGATGGACAACACTCTTCTTCACATCCTGTAACTTCAGGGGTTCCTCAAGGTTCAATCCTTGGCCCTATACTCTTTTTAATTTACATTAACGATCTTCCAGATATTCTCACATCTAAGGTGGCATTATTCGCTGACGACACTACCATTTACTCTTGTCATGATAAGAAGCCTACACTCTCTGATTGCTTGGAGGGGGTATCTGAGCTTGAAAAGGATCTCACTTCTGCCACAGCATGGGGCTCACAGTGGCTGGTGAACTTTAATTCAGATAAAACTCAATTTTATTTGGCCAATCGTTATCGTAATAATTTAGATCTTCCTATATTTATGAATGGTAATGTACTAGATGAGTCATCTACCATTCATCTTCTAGGATTAACTCTTACTTCTGATCTTTCTTTTAAACCGTATATCAAATCCATTGCAAAATTAGCATCTGCTAAGGTTGCATCTCTTTATCGAGCTCGACACTTTCTTACTCCAGATTCTATTCTCTATCTCTATAAATCTCAAATCCGTCCCTGTATGGAATACTGTTGCCACATCTGGGGCGGATCTTCTAATGATGCTCTTTCTCTTTTAGACAAGGTGCAAAAACGAATTGTAAACATAGTTGGACCTGCTCTGGCAGCCAATCTCCAACCTTTGTCACATCGTCGTAATGTTGCTTCTCTTTCTCTTTTCTACAAATACTATAATGGGCACTGCTCTAAAGAGCTAGCGTCCCTTGTGCCATCTACTAAAATTCATTCGTGTTACTCGCCATTCAATTAAGTCTCATCCTTTTTCTGTGACTGTTCCTAAGTGCTTCAAAAACTCTTAATCTTATAGTTTTTTTCCTCGAACATCAGTTCTTTGGAATTCGCTTCCTTCATCTTGCTTTCCTGATTCATATAATTTGCAATCTTTTAAGTCATCAGTCAATCGTTATCTTGCTCTACAGATTTAGTCTTTTCTCTTCCAGTAACTTCCAACTCTTATAGTGGTTGCTTGCAGCCTTGTTGGAAGTGAAGATGTTAAAAAAAAAAAAAAAAAAAAAAAAAATTGATCTTCCTGAAGGTTATGATACTAATGAAGCAATAAAATTGATAAGAGAGAAAATTTTGGGTAAAGACAACAGACAGTAATAAAAATACTTCAGCCAATGCTGAAGTAATTTTATTACTTTTATATATATATATATATATATATATATATAATATATATATATATATATATATATATATACATATATATATACATATATATATATATATATATATATATATATATATATATATATATATATATATATATATATATATATATAACTTATTGTTGTTAAGATATAAAATATTTGTTTTTAAGATATAAAATATTTAAAAAAATGTTTTTTTTTTTTTATTTTAAAATTTTTTTTGTATTCTGGTTTTTGATCTTGTTATGTATTATTTTAAATATGTTAATTTTAATTGGTTTTATTTGGTAAATTGTTTAGTTGAGTTTTTGTTTATTATAATTAATAGGATGAAATCATTTTATCAGAATTACAAAATATAGCATACTTGTTCATCTGTATTGTTAATTTAATTGTTTATTTAGTTTTTTTTTATTGTTAAGTTTTTTTTTTAGTTTTTTCTTGAGTATTATAAGTATTTTTAGAAATGATTAAAATTAAAAAACTGTTTTAGAAATATATTGATTGGTTGGTTGATATTAATTAGTATTGTATTAATATTCCTAAGAAATAAAAAAAGTAGAAACAATAAATAGAATAATTTAAAATTATTGTTTTTTTATTATTTTTGTAGGAGGTTGAAGTAATGAATTTTCTTTCAACAGTTGGACCTGATGCTTTAATTAATACCTTTACTGTAAATATAAAGGGAAATAGTGACACTCATTTGTGCAACCAACTTCAAGACATTATTTTTAGCGAGTTGAATGGTATGAGACCTTTTACTTGTATTTAATAATAATAATGTTGTAATTTTTTAATTTTTTTTTTTTTTAATTTTTTTTTTTTAATTAACAAAATCGTTTTATAATAAAGCAAATTACTTGTATTTTTAACAGTATATTTTTAACAGTATTTCGCTTTTAACAGTATGTTTTATTTGTTTTTTGACAGTATGTTTTATTTGTTTTTAACAGTACTTTTTATTTGTTTTCAATTTTATGATATATTTGTTTTCAAGAGTTTTTTTTTTCTTTTAAATTAAGTGTTTTATTTCTATAAAACTATGTTTTTTTAATTTCTTTTTAACTGTATGTTTTATTACTTTTAAATTGTATGTTTTATTTTGTTTTTACTGTATGCTTTTCAATCAACAGTTGCTTGTTTTGCAATGTGCATTTGTTATTTTAGGAACGGTTGGTAAATCCTTAAAACGTGTACCATTGTTTCTTACAAAATCAGAGCTTGAGGAAGCAAAATATGGAGAGGCCTTTCGTCAATTTAAAACCCGTCTCGGTTTAAGTGACCCCTTAAAAATTAATTTTCTACGAAACACTGCGATGAATCCATTCCAAGCAAGCAAGGCTTATGTTACAGAAATTTCAAAGTTGTTCAGGAACTGTATCATGAATAGTATTGGAGGAGTACGTTTTTTAAACATTTTAAACTAAATATAATTTTAATATTGATTTCGAAAAATATATATACTGCATTATATAGTTTTTTTTTTATACTTTTAATTTTCTTTTAGTTAAAAGATGTTCCAACTCATCATCGTTTTATTGTAAGTGGCAAAATGATTGATGATGAAAATAAAGTATTCCTTGATTATATTCCAACATTTACTAATAAATCTCACCAGTATAATGTTGTTTTAACAATGAAAGCTGTCAATGAAACTGAAAAAATCAAATTTATGTAAGGTTTTTACTTTAAACTGACTCTAATTTTACTATTATCTTTTTAATATTTTTATTATCAATCTAAATTAAATTGACAAAATGTTTTCTTCATAAAGAGAAAGTTGCAATACTGATTCAACATATGTATGCAAGACAAAATATGAAACAACTATAATGGATTTTTTGCGTAAGACAACAGAAAATGGGATTTCAATGGAGCTTTACAAATGTAAAAAACATTTTTAATCTGAGTATTTCAATTTTTCTTTTATGAAATTAAGTATAAAAAGTAAAATGATTTTTATTTTAAAGATGGCACTGAAGGTACTGTTTTGTGCACAGTTAACCTCACTGTAGATGAAGTTTTTCGCTATGAACACTTAGAGGATCCAAAATCTGCAAATTTCATAGAGTATCCAACACACCAGAAATACTTTTTATATGGAGACAAGAAGCGTGCATTTATTTCACATGTGATCACTAAATTTAAAGATTTTCATCAGGTATTGATTTTATTAAAGGTGGGCCCAACCCCATTATAAAACATATTTTTCAAACTTTTTTTGAGATTAAAAAAAATGAATTTCCTTTATTTCAAACATTGTTAAACATAAATAAGGAAATTTAATCATTAAATTTTATTCATTGTAAATTAAATAAATTGGTTGATCTATTTAGTGTGTATAAATTGATCTAAATCATCATAGTATTAGAAAGGCTAATTTTTTTTAATTATCTTAAAATTACAACCTAAAAAGTCATTTTACATTAAATCATTATATAAAAAATAAAAGCTGTTAAGTCTTACATGGCTTTTTGATATGTCCTTGCCTTGATGTAGCTTATATAGTCACTGTGGATCAGAGTGATCGCCAGGTTAAGTTGTTCCCCAGGTCTGATTTTTTTTTTTCAATAGTTAGGTATACATTAGTAGACACCATTTATAACATTTAGAACTTCTGGGGTGCTAGAAAAATTAAAAAAAAAAAAAAATTTAAGAAAAAAATATCAAAAAATAGCTATAAAAACTAAAAAATAAAAAAGCTTTATGTCAATTAGTTATATTACAAGTCTGAATGCTATAAATAATATACTTTACAATATATACTTGAAATTATAAACATTAAATTAAATTATATAATTATTAAATTATTTAATGTTTTTTGATACAAACTCAACAACACTGGATTTTAGTAGTTTTGCATAATCTATATGGTTAACTCTTCGTTTGTATCTGTTCCATGTTTTTTTGAATTCATAATGAATAGCTTCTCCTGTTTGCTCGCAATAAACTCCTAGGCCGCGGTCAGTCAAATAAAGAAAAGGAAGTATATAACATACTGCTATGTGAACTTTCCATGTAACACTGAGCTCAATACCCTCGAATGTGGCATGCACGTACTCAATCAAATCTGCATAGGACTTTTTAAACTCCAGAACAGCAGTGCTGATTTTATCCCCTGCCTATGCTACCATACCAAATGGTTCTGCTTGAAGGCATTTAAACTTCAAAAGTCTTGAATTTACAACATTTTTGAAGTGTGATATTTTTAACTTCTTTTTTCCATCAAGGGTAAAGTTGTTGTAGTGTTCATCCAAGGACCTAAGTGTTCTCTTGATACAAGGCTCAGGAGTGCAGCATCCCTCACAATATAAACAACTGTATTTTCCAGCGTGACTACTAATTCCGAACACTGAATTTGCACATTTAAGATCAAATGCAAAGTAAAGAGTACTATAATACTCTTTAGTACTATACAAATTAGCAGCAAAATTATAAGCTCTACAAGTTATATATTAATTTACATTGATATGAAAAAAATATATGATATATTTTTTATATTTATGTATAAATATATATAATAAATATAAAATATATTTTTTATATTTTATATCTAATTAATTTTTTTATATAAAAAAAGATGTTATATGGCTTATCTTATATGGCTTTTTGGTATGTCCTTGCCATAATGTCGCATATATAGTATTGTATGGTACTTTATAAATTGTTGGTAAAGTTATAGGCTTTACTAGTTATATACTAATTTACATCGATATAAAAGTTAATAGTGTAATTTACATTGATATAAAAGTTAAAAGTACTTTGAACAAAATACTATGATCTACTTGATACATTAAAAAATAGAGTATTTAGGGTGAATCAATGTTACTAATTGAGCTATTGATAGTCTTAACAAAATTGCAACATTGTTTTGAGTTGCATGATGTTTAAAATGAACTTGATAAGGATAATTACAATATAATTATAAACTTTAGAGTTCTGAAAAGTCAATGTTTAATGCTTGTTAATGTAGTCAGTACTTTGGTTTCTTATTTCCTTTTAACTTTTGCATCCCGGGATCCCGATATTATTATTTTTAAGTTCTCAGTTTATATTAGCACACTAATCTAAATTAATTTTTTAATTAAAAAATTGGCTTAAAAAGCATAAGCTATTAATTAGTAAGCTATTAAGTCGTCCACCATTGCTAGCTTTAACACAATTTATCGATACTTTATTATTAGTTTATCGATATGCTTTCGATTGACGTTCTTTTGATATGGTATAGTTATTAGGAATCGTGAAATAGTTAAGTGAATAATAAATTAGATAGATCACATTGCTAACAACAACAAAAAAAAACGCATAGTTCTAATAGTATTAATTTATACACCCTTGGTAACTGTTATTTTAATAAACTAGGTATTTAATTTTTCAAAAATGCCATTCAACAAAATGTTTAATTATTTGAAATTTTTAAAACCCAACAAAACATACGGTTTTTGTCGTTTAAAATCTAAAAATTTTTTTTCTTCAACTTTTATTTTATAATAACAAAAAAAAAAAAGACATTGCATTTTCTAAAATGTTAAAAAAATAATACTTGCTTAAAAAGTTCGTGATTTTTAAAATAGAAGATATATACCGGGAAATATTAGCCATATCCCGGAATGTCCCGATGTCACTTTCAACCATAGAATCCCAGGAAAATAATGTTCCGTCTGGGAAAACCTAGTTAGTACTAAATAACAATTAACAAACAAACCAAAAAAAAAAAGGTTTCTCATACTGTTATCGTGGCACTTGTGTTACTGTTATCGTGTACTTGTGAATTTATCTCAAAATATGCCACATCTCAAGTCGTAAACCAATCTTAATCTTTCCTTAAAAACCTTTTGTTGCTGTAAATTTCAATACCATTGTGGTAGAGAACTTGGGAAAGGTTATAATCAAAAGATGGTCTGTATCATACATAGATTGTGATGGAGATATATTTCCCACAAAAAAAAATTTTTTTGGCGACTTTGTCAATAAATATTGTTTCAGCAGAAAAAAGTTTCTCTTCCTTAAAAATGTAAAGTATTTAATTATATCGCAACTCATAAGTTTTACCCCATACAATCCCCCATCAGCACCACCACCACCGCGCACTCACGCACAAAATACTAGGTACGTCCTTGATTTAAAGTAAAATTTTAATTTGAGTTTTTTTCGATTTTCTTCATATGAGATTTATATCAACATTCTAAGCAAGTGTTCAAAACTTTCTGAAAACAAAAATAAATGATTTCAAAAGAAATTAGCGCTGTAGTTAAGTTAATTTCTATAATAAAATTGACACAAATATTGAGAATTTTTTGTAGACAGCATAATTAGACTAATTAAATAATATAAATTCATTATTAAATAAATTTATTTGAATTGTAGTTGACCGTTTTTATGAAGAAAATTATAAAAAAATTAGATATAAAGAAAAATAATTTTTTTAAGAATATTTAGGCTCATAATAATGAGGCTTATTAATTAGTCTTTAGGTTATATATTTCAGCTATTAAATTTTTTTTTTCCCTTTAGTTTAAAAATTATTTTTTTTCTGAAGGTTGTGGAACTCGATGAAATTCCTCACAGCGTTCCAGAAGTCATTTTAGATATGGGAGCCATCATCACCATTCCAGATATATCTGGGAGCCCTTTATATTTGGGAGACAAAATTTCAGATCCATTGCAAGGTGACAATTACGTTGTAGAGTTTAAAGGCAAACAATATATTGATTGCAAGACGACAATTAGATTCCAAAAAGCAACGGCAAAGAAATATTTTGATTTCGAATATCTCAACACCAATTAAAAGAGTTTATATTTTGTAATTATGTTTTGTTTTTTGACTTTAAAAAAAAATATCTTAAATTTTGAGTTGTTGCTGGGGTTGGGGGAATAAAACCATGAATTGCGACCAGTGGCGGATTAAGACTTCTATTTTTGTTTTTGGAGACTATTTTTGTTTTTGGAGGTCTTTTTATAGGCCAGAGCCTAAAAATGACTTTTTTTTAATGACGATTTTTTAAAAAACGAAAAAAAAAGGTCCCCTAAACTTTTTTGGGGTCCCTAAATTTGCGAGGCCCGGGGTCTCTAAAAGAGGCCCCTAAACTTTTTTGGGGTCCCTAAATTTGCAAGGCTATAGTCACCCCTAGCCCCCTCCCCCATCTCTCCTTGATCCGACACTGATTGCGACAACCTAACTGATTTGCGGCAAATTAAGTACAACTTTTTTTGTGAAAACAAAGAACAGATTGCAAAAAACCTTGATTCATCGTCAATAATTATTTAAAATATTATAATAATACCTCGAGTTAATAACAAAAAAAACCAATCATTAACAAAGTCTGTTTTAACGTAGATGTTATTTAAAATTTTTGTTTTGATACAATCCAAACTTTTTTGCTTTCTAAAAATATTAATTTTAATGACCACAAATAATATAACGATATAAATAAATTATCAATATTTAAATTAAATTTTTTTGAACACTTAATATTTTGAACTAAATATTTACTTATAAATATTTTGTGTAAACGTATTATTTAATCGTTAATGGATCGACTGACAATAGGGATATGCTAAATTAAAAGACTTGCATTTTTATCGGGACAGGATCAGGCTTAAAAACATCATTTGCGCCGTACCACACAATTATATTGTACTCGTATAATAAATTTATATATCGCGGTTGCCACCACTTAAGGTTTCTGGAGTAATCCTTAAACACCACGTGTTTAAGGTTTACTCTAGAAACTCCTGTCAAAAATTGCGTGACGTAATTTGCGAACGGCAACCTTGTTTATTAGTGAAATTTAGAGTTACGTAATTTAAGAACGATCCCTTGATAGAAGTTAGAACCTATGCATGAAAATCTAAATTAAATATCGATTTGTAATTATACAATTTCTTTTTTCCGTTTTCCTAATTTATACATTTCAATTATTTTTAAATTATGTTAAACTTTTAATAAGAATAAAACTTTTATTAATATAATTTACAACATTTATCAAACTATATACTAAATTAACAGTTAAATTAAAATCTTGTTAAACTTTACATTAAGGTCGATGTGACAAATATTTATTGAATTAAGACGAGGTCACATAATTTCAGAAAAGTTAGTAATTAACGTTAATTGTAATGCTCCAAAAATCGAAGATGAAATTCTCTCAAACTTTTCAGCATAACTCTTAAATCGTCTTCAGATGGAAGAATAGTTAATCTAGAGAAAAAACAATATTTTAAACAAAATTCTAAAAACAGTGCAAAAAGCGCAATGACATAATGCGTAAACATATATATATATATATATATATATATATATATATATATATATATATATATATATATATATATATATATATATATATATATATATATATATATATATATATATATGTATATATATATATATGTATATATATATATATGTATATATATATATATATATATATATATATATATATATATATATATATATATATATATATATATATATATATATATATATATATATATATATTTATATATATATATATGCAGCATTTTTTGATGCTTGAAATACCTAACTTCCAAATTTGGAGCAAACTCCAAAAATTTATATCTTTACTTATATCAAAAAAGGATGCTTTGCAAAAAATTGCAATGATTGGAGCCTAGGAACAAAAAAACTCTAAAATTTTAGGTACACCTGCCCCAAACGTGAGAGCAACAAGTTGATAAAATAATTTTTATACTATTCTTAACTAAATCTATATTCAAATCAAAAACTATGACCATAAAAAGTTTGACAAATTTATAAGGCCATATATATATATATATATATATATATATATATATATATATATATATATATATATATATATATATATATATATATATTAAGGCCATATATATTATATATATATATATATATTTCGAAGATATTTCGCATCTTAATAGTTTGAAAGAGTCTACATTTTTGACGTTAGTACCTGTTGCAGAAGGTGATTGGCCTTAAAGTAAACAAAATTTATTTTAAAAAAATACGATTGTAGGGCCACAATAAAGCCATAGATTTAAGATAGTCTATCAGACATACATTTTGAAAATCAATTAGATACAACTCGGTCGTGATAATAACAATTTTTGCTTGTAAAAAGGCAAAAGAAAGAGTGTTTTCAATCTTAATTTTATTAAATAATCCTATCAGTGTTAATCCTATCAGTGAATGTGTTACAAATGTGTTATTAAATCCAGATAAGATCTAGATTTTTTTGAAAATATGAATGTTAGCTAAAAATAAAAAAACAATCATTAACTTTTATATGTTTTTAATTTAAAAAATATTATATGCGTCTGATCATGCATGTGCAATCCCTGCTAACCAATCGACACTGATTACAAGTATTGTTTTTAAAATGTACTACCTAGTCGGAATTTGGTCCTAAAAAGATGTTTTTGAACGTCTTTTTGGGTATTTTCAAGATAAATTATTTACAACCTTTAGAAACTAGACAACCGATATCGTGTAGGTCGATACCGAGAAGGATGGCCTCGTACCGAGTGATATCGTTTAAATACTAATGTCGATATCATCAGTATCAGTTTGATATCACACGATACCAAGAAGGATTGTCTCGTAACGTGTGGTATCGCTTAAGAACTAATGGCGATACTATCAGTATCGGGTCGATACCGCACGATACCGATAATAAAAAGAATTGTATGGTATCGAATGGTCGGATAGTCTTAATAAGTAAAAAAAAAATGAAAATGTGACTTTTTGCATTGTTTTTTTAACAAACCAAAACTAATTTTCTTTCCTATTATTACAATAGAAAACATTACAATAACGATACTAGGGTAACTTAATCGAACCTCGCCCACGTCCGCACTGAAATTGATGTTGACAGGCTATAATTAGGCTTGCACAGCTGAACTATACATCATTACACAACTTATTCCTTCAACTACAAAACTATGTAAAACTATTTAGATTTTATGAGAGTAGTTGGCAGTACCATTATAAATTGTACAGTGTGTCAAAAGCACTAATTCTCGCCTACTTGAACTCAATCTCGCCATGTTAATTTAAAGTCGCCCACTGTGTAAATTAAAAAAGAATTTATACTTGCGTAGGACGACGTTATATACAGGTGAGTGAGATTAAATCTTGTTAGTTAATTTCTATGCTTAACTCGATCATTTTAATTAGAAAAGAATAAAACCATGGGGTTTTTGTGAATGCGAACTTTCTCCCCAGATTCTGACTTGAATCTGGATTCTGAGATCTATCTCAATTGTAATTGTAAAATGTATAAATAAAGTATAGTTTCAACGCATCAATGCTTATGAGCCGTAGTAATGACAAATATTGTCTTCTTTTTGCCCCAGTCATGTGTTTAATTTTTATATTGAGCAGCCGTGGCATAGTGATTAAAGCATGGTACTCATTGTAAAAGTGTTGTGAGTGCGAACCCTGCTCGAAACACTTATACGTTATCGGTAAAGGTTGAAATGGGGAACCAACTCATTAAATAGTTAAGCCCTTGTGACGGTTTTTAGTGATAAGACCATTAGGTCTTATCACAAATAAGACCGTTAGAGTATTTTTAAATAAAAATAATAAAAAGTTTATATAGGTAAGACGAAATTGTATGAATTTTTAGTTATATAAAAAAATATTTTCAAATATTTAGTACATATTAGCCAGTATTGTTCTCGGGATCAACCAATGGTTGAAATTCAGATGATAATGAAATGAACTTCTTTTTTGTTGTTGCTATAGACTTGTTGGCACAATTTTCTAATTTTTTTTTTCTTAGCCAATACCTTTTTTTCTTCTTTTTCTTTGAGTTGCTTAGCAGCATTAGCAAATCGCAATTGTTTTCTTTCACATTTTATCTTTTCCTGTTGGATTTTGTCTTGGTGATATTTCAGCTTTGTTGAGTGTATTTCTTGAGAAGTTAAAACGAAGTATTTAAGCTGACCATTTCTGTTCGCGTGGCCTTAGGATATGCCATGACATCATCATCTCCATCACCTGCATTGATAAAAACATATATATTCAATAAAAGAGCAAGTATTTAAATAGTCTTAAAAAAACTTGAATTATTTTAAAACTAAAAATTTATTAAAAGTTGCATTGCAACTATTGATCATTTGATCAAATGAAATAAAAAAAAAACTGTAAAATAGTTGGAATACCAGGGTAGGAATTCAAAATAGAAGTGTTGCTTTCTAACGAACTGTGAGTTGCGTTATCTTCTTTAGTGCCATTTTTTAATTGTTCTAGATAATTAGCAACTTTTCCAGCATCGATAGAAGCATCAACGTCTGAAAAATTATTTTCTTAAACAATTGATGATTGGAATTTCTAAGAAAGTAATAAAAAATGCTATTAAATTGCATGTTAGTAAACTTTATTCCTCATTCAGAATTTTTATTAATTTGTACATAAAATATTAGTCCCAGTTGCTAGCTAAAGTTGAAATAACAATGTATGTGAAGGCATTTCAACTATATGTATCTGGTTCTGGATAGCAATATCAATTAGCTCAATAATGTTGTGAGAATCGTGCCCATCAAGAATCAATAACTGAGGACGTTGTGGACCAATATTTTCTTTAAATGTCTTGGTAAATCATAGTTTTGCTAGGCCCTGTTTAGTCCAACCAGTATCGGACCAGCTCCAATTTGTTCCCGGAGGAGCGAACTCAGTGTTAAAACCCCATAAAGACCTGGATGTCTTTCCCTTCACTATAACCTGGGTTGAAATGAACTTGCTCTGTGCATTCACACATGCAATAACAGTGATTGACTCTCGATTTCCACTCGTTCGACTATGGAGATTTTCTGTTCTTTTTCATGCTACCACTTTTCTTGGTTTTACGTCAAGTTGTAGTCCAGTTTCATCCATATTCCATATGGATTCTGGTTTAAATCGAAAACCATTTTTCACCATGACGTAATTCAAAGCACTAAAGTACTTTGACACTTTATCTTTATCCATATACTGATGTCGAACTGAAGCTGTACCCTCAGGTTGTCGCAGAGTAAATTTATGCCCATGCCGTTGTTTAACCCACCACTGGTTGCTTGGAAGTTCTTTCTTGAAGTTGAATTTATGTTTTGCGGCAAGTTTCCCAGCATAATTCAGGAGCTGTGACTTTCCAATACCTACCCCTAACTTTATTCTATTGCTGACATTATCGATAAGTTGTTCTTCCAGAGCAAAAGGTAAGGTAGGTTTTCTTCCTGGCTTTGCTTCAATTACAACTTTTCCAGAAAGTCTGTCCCTCAGTGTTGTACGTGGCGCATTGTACAATATTGCTGCCTTACGCACTGAAAATGATAGGTCTGATTTGACATGCTTAATTGCACTCATCATATTTTCTTCACTCCATTTCAGGAGTTTGCCTCGTTTCTTAACAGTGACTGGTTGATCAATGAAATGATTGGAACCATTGACACGAGTTAAAGAAACATAAATTGTTGGTACCTGTTTTATTTAACAAATGTCAAGAGTACTACTACCAGATGTTGAAGGAGTTATACTATCATGAAAATGAGTTGTATTCTAACATATTATAGCCTCTGTTACAGAAGCAATCTTTCCAACCGACATCCGGTGAAATCTTGGTGATGATTTAGATCCTACTACATTTTATACAATTACTCAACGCAGAGCTATAGCAATTTATTTTTTAAATAATTTTCTTAATAACAATACACAGAGGAAGAGTATTGTTTTAAAGACAATCAAAAATAAATTAACGTATCATCAATTTTTGTCAAAACAATTATCAATTAAGTTTGGGGTTCATTTTTACGATAATGCCAAGGATGTTGAATAAAGGGTAATTAATTTATAAAAAAAATTTCCTCAATAATATAGAATAAAAATACATAAAAAATACTCCTTTGTAAGCATTCAAAAAGATTATGCTCTTTATATATATCCTTACGAAACTTAATGATTTTGTTTTACAATTGTTTTTTAAATATGTCATCGCTGGTAGCGTAAGTCTTAACACATTATGTTGCATCTATTCTCGCCCACCCGGGCGTGATTAAATACATAGGGCGACAATATATTTATTCTGTGGGCGAAATTGAGTTAATTTGGTAGGTTGAGCAGAAAACAATTTTATGCATATTCTACCATTTCAAACGATTATAAATGTTATTGCAATCAGTGATTAAACAGTAAAAATTAAATTATAATTTAACATGCATAAAATTAATTTAACATAAATAATTAATTCGGTTAATTATTTATAGATTTGCATCAGCTGGTTTGAATTCGGCAAATTAGGTAGCAAAAAAATTAACAAAAACCAACAAATTTTCTTTAAGAGATGCTTTTTTATTTGCAATTCTTTTGAGTTCAAAGTTGTTTTGATGTTGATAAGGCTGGTTTGCTGCTCTAAAAGAACGTCTTTTTGATGGTGCAGCATGTGAGTTGATTGACGAAATTCAGATTGAGTGATGGAAGAAATTATGTAAAGTTACCCTAGATGAAAATTAAAACACGGAAGCGATACCATAGAATTATTTAAATTAAATAAAACTTTTCATTAAAAGTTCAAATTTGAAGCCAATTTATATTAAAAAAATACTACTTTACTTTATGCAAAAAAAAAAAAAAAAAAAAAAAAAAAGGTTTTCAATTTTAAACGATAAAAATCTCAAACCTTTAAACGATAAAATACGATAAAAAACGATAAAAAACTTTTTGAATTTAAATTACAGAAAGACATTTAGTATTAGCAAAATATTAAAAATTTTCACAATGCTTTGCTTTTATGTAAAAAGCATTTTAAACCACTGCAATTGTAGGACTTTAAACTAGGTATCTTCAATAAACACTGGGTAATTTGAGCATGATCGTAGTTCACAAAGATGGTTTCTTTAAATAAAGTTAAAAATGTTTCTATGCACTGCTTTACGAACAAAAATGGAACGGATTTAAAACATATTTTTCTTAATGAAAAATTAAATTTCAATATTTTAACTTTAAAATTCGCGCAAAAGTTCTTTCATGCGTAATGATAAAAATTTAACATCACAAAAAACTTAATAACGTTTTAATTAGATGAGAGCCACTAATTACTGCATATAAATTTACGTTAATTATACTGATTCCTGTTATATTGTGTAGGGATATGTCTAAAAGGTACATTTCATTTTCTTGGAAAAGCCATAGCAGGAAAAGATGATCTTGTGCTAACATAAAATATTGATACATTTTTTTCACAAAAAAAAAAAAAAAAAAAAAAAAAAAAAAAAAAAACAACTCTCCCATTGGTGCAGATGAAAATTTGGTCCAATCACAAAAAAGATTTAATTCTCAACCTCTCAAATATACACATGATTTTAAATGGGCAAGAATTAGCAATTTTAATATATTTAAAAAAAAAAATTTAATATACTTTTTTTTACTAATGATTTTGACCCAAAAAATTAATTATTTTAACTTACATAATTAAAAATAATTGAAAATCACATCTTCTTTCGATCAAGATTTTATATTTTTTAAATTAAAATTACGAATGTTGCCACTTTAGCAAAACTACGTTAAAGAAACTCGCTATTTTTAAATATTACAAAGTAATTTAAAGACCAGATTTTTAATTATAAAGCATTATGGCATTATATAATAGGAGTACTGTTCCGAACGTAGAGAATTATTGAAAATAAATTGTTGTAAGTTTTTCTTATTTTTATATGAAATATATTTTATATTGTATATTTTATATAATAAAAAAATATATATATTAGTAAAATATAGATAAAATATATTTTATAGTAAAAAATTTTGAAAAATTAGCAACAATTTATTTTCAATAATTCTTTATGTTGAATGCAATTCAGGTAAGCTTCACTTTTTTTTTTCAAATTTTCTAGCATTTATTTTGGTATTATGTTGAGAATTAAGTCACTTGAAACAAAGTTGCAAGGGATCACTATTAAGGTACGAGTTACTAGAAATAAAAACAATAGAGTTAAAAAGCAAGGAAAAACGTTAACTAAAGATTTAAAAAGATGTAGTTTGTATGAGTCAGGAAAACATGAAGGTGGGTGAGAGTTTTGAGGTTTTGTTGATGTGCGAGGAAAAAACTAAGAAAAGACAGATGCATTAAATGGATTAAATAAAAAATCCAAGCAAGAACCTGTTTTGGTTGATCAAACTTGAGATGAAGCTTGTTTTTGAGCAGCGACCACGATAGTATTTGTGGAAAAATGGAAACTATACAACGATGTGAAGGTTGCTCAAGCTTGGCAGATAGTGATATAGACAGATAGATAAGCAGGTCCAATTACATTTACAATGTACATATATAACTTCATATAGGAAATGTCAACGTTATAGGAATATAGGAATCTTAATATTGGAATGTCAACATTATTACAATATTTGTTTGGAGTAAATAACTTTTTGATGGAGTTTACCCCTTCGTACACTATGTGTACAAACGTACATAATTCGTTTTGTTCATTTTTCACTATGGAACTTAAGCAAAACAATAATTGAAACACGATGTGAACATTTGTACACACCAGTCGTATTTTATATATTAATAAAATAAGTATTTTAATAAAATTTTACATACCCCATAAGGAGGTCTAGTACATTTGTTTTATCAACAAAAAAAATTTTTTTTAACACATTTCTTGTGCCCGTGTACGAAGGGGTTAAAATACAAAAGCCACTTCATGCCCAATGTTTTTACAGAAAAGCAATCAGATTAAAGATCGGTTGCTTATTCTAATCAATCAAAAAGTAAAAACTTTTGTTCAAGAGTATAAAGTTGAGTCGTCAGCAAATAGAGCCACTTTAGATGTAAGATTGTCAGGAAGATTGTTATTGCAGATTAGAAACAATACAGGAGCAAAGGTAGAACCTTGAGGTAACACTAAAGTTACTGGAAATGAAAAAGAGTGTAGGCCTTCGAGGGTGACTCAAATACTGCGGTTAGAAACAAATGATATAGTAATCTTAGACTTTTTGTATAAAGAATAATACAGAGAAGATTAATC